CAAAAGAAGTTTGGACACAGACACACAGGGAGAGCACCCTGTGAACACGGATGCAGAGATCAGGGGAAAGCTTCCCAAAGCCAAACATTGCCAACAAACCACCCTAAGCTGGGAGAGAAAAAGAAAACAGTTTCTTCTTCATAGTCCTCAGAAGGAACCAGCACTGCAACAGACCCCTTGCTCTTTGACTTCTAGCCTCCGGGACAGCAAGACAGTCAATTTCTGTTGTTTAAGCCACACAGTGTGTGGTACTTACAGAAGCCCTAACAAACTAGTGCAAATGATTTGCACATCTATAAACAATTGAAAGAGGAGGAGTAGGAGAAAGGGAGAAGGAAGAAGAAGGTATTAAGGCAAGAGAAGTGGCAAAGGGAGAAAACAAGAAAGAGAAAATAGCAGAAACCGTATATGGCCTAAGAAGCCTAAAGTATTTGCTGTCTGGTACTTTACATTAAAATCTTATTCACCCTAATTTTCAGAGATCTTACAGCCCATATAACTTATGAATAAATGGCAGCCTCCAGACATAAAATATCCAAGTTCATACATCGAGTATGAATTGGTTTGAGCTATACCTGTAACAAAACCATCTGATTTCAAGTCTGTTTTAAAAAATCCACACCATTCTGACTACTGAACTTTTAAAAATAATTTCACCAATCCCCTTTTGTTTAAGTTCAAGTACCAAAATATTACTAAGAAGATGTTTTCATTTATTATCACAGTCTAGTAACCTGAGTCCTGTTGAAAAACATAATTCACAATTTTTTGGAGTGAAGTGCCTACTATGATCCATAATTTGTTTTTGTTTTTGCTTTCGGGCCTTGCTCTCCAGCAGCTCATTTTCTGTGATACTGGTTCTTAAGCCATAATTAAAATATAATTAAAGATCAAGAACAGATGTCTGCCTGCTCTCCAGAGCCCCACAAACCATGGAGCATACACTTTGGTATTATGGATTTTATGTTAAAGAGAAACAAAACAGGAGAACTGTGTGCTGAACAAACCCTCAAGCCAATGCTAAAGGCGTAAAAAAGTATTTAAGAGAAAGTGGACCAGAGTTGTGGTAATTCTTTTAATGGACCCATAACCTAGGAACAGAAAAATATCTGTTTTGTGTTCATCTGCACTGTTATTTGACAGTACAGACAAAAAATTAAAAAATATTTAAAAAGCTATGTTCTTGCTAACTCCCCTTGGGTGAGACATTTAACCATTTTGTTGGCTGGAGCTCAGTTTGGCCAACTGTTGGCTGCTGAAGATGATCGTTCTTACTGCAGGGGTTACCGGAAGGGCCTGCAGGAGTGTGGGGCAAGCTGTTCTTTCCTGTCTAAGGCTGCCTAATAGTTGAAGCATAGACGTTGCTAATACAACACTATATGCATAAACTTCTATTAAGATTCTGGTGAACCTGAAGTGTGGAAGAAATGGAAGGGAGGTGAATGGGTTAAAGACAGTTTTCCAGCCAAGAGTATATGAGAAGACCAATTATCCCAAGTGTGGCTGCTCTGTTTCAAGCTCTTATGCTTTTGCACAGAATGCCCAAATACCATAGGAGTTCAATTTATCTAACTCTGAACAAAATTTGTTCTTTTTCTAATACCTGCTCTCTAAAGTAGGGACCTCATCTGGAATTGAAATTTGGTGTTTGTTAGCCTGGGACAATTTACTTAACCTCTCTATGCTTTTCTTTCTCCAAGTGTTAAAAGAAAAGTGGGGTATAGGGTGAGATAACTGTAGTGTATATAAGCCATAAATTGTTTCAAGGATTAAATGAGATAATGAACAGGAGTGTGCCTCACAATGGTTAGGAATCCTAAGTATGTTGATTTTTTTCTATACTATACAGGTGAAGAAAATACGCAAATATTCACATAATTTAAATTATTTACATAGTTGTTCATCTAATTATAACTAGTATGTGAAAACCCATCAGCATTTATATTCATAAATGACACTAGCCATGTGTTTTGTCATCCGTAAATCAGTTTCACATACACTGCAGGACCTGATCTACAAATTAAGAACCTCAAGGGTCTAAGGTGGGTAGGCAGTGGTAAGCAGGGACCTGGGTCCCCAGTCACTCTTCTCCTTTCCTGCCCTTCTGCCAGAGTCCTTTCCCCTGTGTGGGCTGGACTAAAGACATGTCTGTTGTCTTTGTGAAAAGTTAAGAACATTTTGCTTTTGGGTGTCTGAAAGCTGTGTGCCACTGATTCAAGGTTTGTGCGTGGGCAACTTGGAGATGTTACCCCAATAAGGAGATTTAACCCACGTACCATATTTGAGAGGTTTTCAACCTTTCCTGGGTCCCCAATTTTCTCGAAAATTTGATAAAATTATGTCCCACTCCATGCACTTTTATACTCATCCCAAAAGAATATGTATAAATTTTGCAGTTTTCACGGGTCCCCCGAAATCCATGTAAGGATCCTGAATGAGGCCACATAGAAAGTTTAAGAATCTCTAATTTAAAGAGATTAGCGTTCAATTTAAATACAACGAAGAAAGCCAGCACTCACTTTTATATTCCCTTTAAGACGTTTAGTTTTTACTGCTCTAGTTTCTAGCCCCATTTTTTTTTCCTGGACTTTATCTACAGGTGAGAAAATAAACTCAGTGTATCCAAACTCCTTGGGTTCTAGCTAAAGAACTATTAGACACAGGAGAGGCACAAAACATTTTGATGTAAACTGAAGGCAAATTTATCCATTACCAGGAGTTGGAACCCTAAGTGAAGAAAGTGAAGAAGGAACAAAAGGTTTTCAGAATGAAAATCAGAATTCCAGGACAAAGACTTGGAAGTCCAATCCGCCATCTCTTTGTACTGAGGAAAGGGATCTCCTAGTTGTTTCCTTTTTAACCTGCTTGAGGGAAGGCTAAGGCCCCAACGGGTTTGCCATGACCCCCTGTCCCACCAGCGTCTGTCTGAGGCCCCTCCAGCAACCCCACGTGGACTGCCGGCCTTCTCCACCCACTCCCTGCTCCTCCTCTTCCTGCCCCCAGAAATCTCACTTCCCCAGTGTTCTATAACCCTGCAGGTACCACTGCTGGGCTTGGCAAGTGGAAATAGCAGATCCCATGAGCCCAGACATCTGGGGAGGCAAACTCTTCTCCTTCGTTGATGGGAGAAATCGGACTCTGCCGCCCGGACAATCTGTCATAAGACGGAACCAACAGTGGAGAGGATGGTGAACTCGGGAGGAGACCTTAACAAACGCTATCCAAATTTAATTTTCTGCGAGTACAACCGGGACGTCCCTGTGCTCCATCGCATCACAGGGCGGGGGATGAGAGCGGGGAAGCTGCAGGGATCAGGAGCAAATTGTCCCAGAAACTACTTTAGGACCCCTCCCCATCTGTCCCTTATCTTCCCTTTCCCTTCCCTTCCTTCTCCCTTCCCTCCCTCCTCCAAGAATGGTCCCGAGTTTCCCAGGTGAGGTGAACGAAAAACGAGGTGGGACCTCTAGGCATCTGAGGAGCCTCTCCTGCAGCTAGTTGGAAATTCTGCGCGAGTGGCTCGCCCTGGTTGCCTGGGCGCTCGCTGTTTATTCAAGTGTGGGTCAGATTAGCCACCTGGGGCACAAATCCTGCAAAACGAGTCTGAGAGCGGGGCGAGCTCTTGCAGGTAGGAAGGTGCAGCGCTGAGCTAAAAATAACAAGGGCCAGCAGCCAGCTACTGCGGAGGCGGCGCAGACTGCGCGGATGCGGGAAACGCGCGGGTCCAGCTGTGCTGGGTGGGCTGGGTGACCTACACCCACTCTGCGCCGACACTCTTGGCCATTTACTAGAGCGTCACTGCGGGGGAGCGCAAGGAGAGGGTGCACCAGCTTCCCAAGCCTCCCCTGGTGGCCCTGGGCATCAGGGACGCAAAATGTGACGCACAGCACTGCGCCCGACTGGAGAGGGCACGGGGATTGGAAGCTGGCAGAAGCATCAAGGCATTGGGCCTGGCGAGGCTCGTGTCCCCGGCCTGCTAGGTATCAGCAGTTGCCAAGGGACAACGTGGCTCGCAATTTCCAGGTGTCCACACCTCCTTCTCCATCTGCTTGTAGGAGGTGAGCACCGTGCCTGTCGCTGCTCGGCCAATGGAGGTCCGCGCGTTCCAGCAACCTGTCACCCACCTCGCACTTCCTTTCCTCGCAGCTCAGCCTTTCAACACCCTCCGTGGGTTTCTCTGACTCCTTCTGAATTTGAGTTTGCGTGACCTCTGAGTCTGGCCGTGGGGATGCAAGTCCTAGAAAATGGCCAAACTTCGGCCACGGGCGCTGAAGACTTCTATCTGCGTTGGAGCTGGGACTGAGCTTCGGCGAGGCATCAAGAGAGGCCCTCCCCGCGAGCTCAGGGCTCCCAGAATCTGGGGATGGAGCCCCTTTCTTTTTATGAAGCTGTTACTTCTTTGTTGGGCTTAGTGCATTTCTGTCTTAAGAAATACGTGTCTAGTGTCTCTGCCCCCCCCCCCCCCCCGCAGGCTGACGCTTCGCAGTGCCCATTCCTAGCATCTCAGGCAGTGAAGCCAAGGAGGGGAAGAGCTGAGTACAAAGCCCAAGTGCCTCTAGGCGCTCCTGCGACCCAGCGTCCTGCCCTCCCAGGGCTTCATAGAAGTGTCAAGCAGGCCTGGCAGGCCTGTCGGCCTCCACCTTGGGCTACTGCGGCCCGAATGGTCCCCAGTGGCCAGGCCTTAGTTGGTGCCACTGCTCTTTGGGAGGTCCGGAAGTGGGTTCCCTGAAGCGCCGGGCCTGTTTTATGTGTGCTGTGGCCACCTCCAGACTACAGTGTTCTTCCAGTTCTACTCTGGGCAACCCTCTGGTTACCTGAGGTGACTGGAAACATTATCTCTAGCTAGAGATAGAGATAGTCAAATGCTAGTCAAAGAACATAACTTTAAAAAATGATGTCAAAAGCATATTTTAGCAAACCTTTATTGAAACATAACACAAAGAAAAAGATACACAAATTGCATGTATACAACTTGATGAATTTTCAGAAAGTGAACATCCACAAGCATTTTTGAGTGTTAATTACAACTCTACATGATCTCTGAGGGGATTACAAATAATATACATTCATTCCTGAAGAGGACATTGGTGAAAATAACTCTTTGCCCCACTCAAGGACATGAAATACTTAGACTATATGTAAAAACATCCAAGTTCTACTTATACAATGAACATGTCTTGGATCGCATACCCTTTTCAGACAAAACTTTCCTCGCAGAAGTTTAGAAAGCTGTTATTATGAATTAAGGGGAGAATATTAGATCATGGAGTCCAACTGACATCTGGCTGGGAAACCGACTCATTTGGTGCAGCAGGATGTCCGTGCAGGAGCCTGCTGCTGCTTCCAAACCTCATCCCCACAGTGGGACGCAGTGTTATCCAGGCTCACACACAACAGGGAGAGTGAGAGAGCATGGAGGGTGTGTGTGCTGGGAACGAAGATACTCCACACTTTTAACCGTCTTGATCAATTCTGTAATAATCTATTTCCGAATGGCATCCCTTCTGTAGACTCAGGTGGGTGCAGTTGACCATTTTTAGCAGAGGAAACTTAAAACAGGGAGAAGCCAAATCTCCATTACTGGGTGCCTGTCCCATCCTTTGTGATAACCCTTCTTTGGAAAGAGAGGAATTTCAATAGCTGTGCCCTGTCTGCCATCCACATGTTAAACATGTTAAGACATAAAAGCAGTCTTTTCATCTGTCTGATCTCTCTGAGGTTTTGATTGGAGTTCTCATTTTTGATGGTCTGTTTTGAAGGATTAAAAAAAAAAAAAAAAGAAGAACCGTATTCCAGAAAGTAGTGAGGCAATAATTTAAGGCACAGGGAACTGAAATAGTGTTGCGTTTTGTTGTATGCAATGAGACGATATTAGAATCCAGTATTATTTAGCTTCGAGTGAGGTATGTCAAGGGTTGACAACAGTCTCAAATGTGGAGAACTTTGCATTCACACATAATTCTTCCTTAGACAAGGGGAAAGGACATAGGTTTACATTTTAGCAAGAAGTACAGAGAAAAACTGTTTATAGTTTTGAGGTATCAGGGATCAGGAAAATCAGAGATGGAACATGCTTGGGGTACGTCATCTGTAGTTCCCTTATTCTCAGCAGTTGTGAGTGTGCACTTTGTCAGTTGTTACTTATCTTGGCAGAGCTTTATCTAGACACATCATATGAATGTTAACTCAGCGAATGCTGCTTCGCAGAGACAGCCTTTATTTAATCAATGTCTAAGAAGTGTGCGGCACCGACGATTACAAACGTAAATGTGAGATGTAACCCCTTCCTTTACAAAAGTTTATTACTAAGTGCAATTCAATATCAGAGTGTCTCTTCACCTACTTTGTTCATGTAATCTTTGCAAAGGATAATAACAACAGCTAATATCTATTGAGCACTTATGTGCCACCATTTTATTATATTAACTTAGTTAATGCCCATAAGACCATTATGAAATAGAAATTGTCATTCTCCATTTATAAATGAGGAAACCAGTTGCTCTGAAGCTTAAGCTATTTGATCATGATTTTAACTAGTAGACAGATTATTTCTCAATCTCAGGGCCTCAGAAAGACCCGTGAGGAACCTGGTCAGTCTTTACATTTTACAGTAAGGAAGCTGAAACCAAGGAAAGGTAAACTGCTTCTTTCTCAAGATGACAACATTTTCCCGGGGAAAGTCACATAAAGTCTTGCCTTAAGGTGATCTTCGTGATTAGATTTGTTCTGTCTTCTAAGAACTAGGTAGATTTCCTGGAATTCTCTATAATAGTAGGCTGCAACAACAGAGCAGCGTGGCCTTGGGAAAAGCCTTGTTTAGCCAGAACCTGTTGCCATGGGGATCCATCCCCCTGGGTGCCCCCACTTACAGCATGTGGAGGAGGAGACAAACTGACCTGGTCTGAATTTTTGGTCCACCACCTATTAGCTCTGTAACTCTGAGCAACCCATATGACCTCTCTAAGTTTCAGATTCTCATCTATAGAACAGTGATTTTAGGAGGATTATTGTGAGGGCTAGATAGCAAATATGCAACTAATGGTAAATGTTAATAAGAGAAACATTAATGGCCCTGGGAAGTTCCACAGATCTCTTATAATTCCAATTCCAATTTATCTTCCTACTTCTCAAAAGCCAGCAATGGGCCTGGAGTTCCTTCAAAGTACCCTTACACAGCTTCAACAGACACTTAATTGGCAAGGAAGGTTTGAAGATCTGATGTGGTTCTTAATCAAAGACCTAGAAGCACAGGCTACTATATCTATAGGATTAGAAATCTTTTCATTTGCAAAGACCTATTTCATACGTTCTGGGCACAGTAATTCTACAATTACTACAACAGTTTATAAAATATAAGCCAAGCATACTCCTTGCTTGTTTAATGATATCTAGTTATTAGCCTTTTAATGGTATCTATCAGCCCTGGAAATATAAGTGAAATAACTTTTACAATAGTAGTTCTCAAGCTTTAGTGTGCTCAGAATCAATAGGAAACTGTGTAAAATGTGTAAATTTCTGGAGCCAGATTTTAAGCGGGGCCAGGAAATCTTTATTTTATCAGATCATTCAACCTTGTTCTGAAGCTTCTGTCCCTCAGAACTTACCTGAAGAAAGGCGGTCCCACAGGCTTGCTGTCCAGCTACTCTCTCTTAATGCTCTCCAGGAAAAACCCAACAAATGAATGCTCTTCATTCAAAATAGCACTAGAGGAGCCACAGTTGCTCTTGAAATATGATAGATTTCTCCTCCCAATCTATTATTTAAGGGAACAGTTTCATTTGGTTCATCTATATTATGTTCTATAAAAACATCAAGATGCACAGGTAGGCTTGAGGTGGGAAAAAGACTAGATGATTCCCCTCACCGACTCTGATTATTAAGGTGTGATTGATTTAGCTCTCCAACCAACAAATAATTTGTTCTTTGGCATAAGAGAAAGGAAGAAAAAAAGAAAAGAAGAGTGAGTGAAGGGCGTTGATACTAGAGAGTTTGCAGCCATCTCAAACATGGGCTAGAAATAAACCTGTTCCAAGAGACCTGGAACTGAGTTATCCCACCACAGGCGTAAAGATTCATATTAGGGTCCAAATAGGTATGTCATGTGACTTAACTAGACACTCCTGGACTATACATTCCACAGACTTGTGGGTGGCTACTTTATTATCTGGGTTTCAACAAATTGAGAAAATAGCTCTCATTCAAAATCATTCAGTTTTTAAAAAAGAAACAAACTATATTATCTGGCGTCTTAAAATAAAGCCCCGCTTTTAATCACAGCATATCACTGTTGTTTTTGAGTTTAAATATTCAAGAACACATTTTGTTAATGATTAAAACAATAGTTATTGATTGGGGGGCTCAGTGAACGTTTAATCTGCCCTCTCCAGTCAGTGTGTTGAAGGAACACTCTGCCTAATGCCCCAGAGTAAACATTAGGTAACTATTTAATGGGGTTTTAATTTTGTGTTGTTATTAATAATAATTAATGTAATTTTGATTATGTTGGAAGCTGGAGGTATACTGTCAGACATCCTTTCAGGGTGGTGGTATTGCCCTGCCCTATTTAATCAGAGGTTCTTTGAAGAGGCAGGCTCATAGTGATTTAAAATGAAAGAAGGTGGATGTTTAATAAAATTTAAATTAAGAAATTGAATCATGTTCAAATTGAAAGAGGGCATGAAATTACCCGGCCTAATCATATCATTCTGCAAATGAGAAAACAGAGGCCCACGGGAATTCAAGGACTTCCCAAAGATATACAGCTCATTTCTGTAGTTTAATGCATTATTGGGCTGAATGACCTCACAGGTCTAACTTGGAAAAGATGGCAGGTCGCTGTGGCCCTGGTCTCACAGTTGTTTCTCCGAACTCATGTACTTCCCACCCTTTGTAATTCTTGTTTTCTAAATATCGAAGGTGTGCAACTGTAAAGTTCATACACATGAGCTATTCTGGACCAAAATCTGTTTAAGTAAAGACCTAAAAGCTTTGCTGGCACCGTGACAGGTAATGTCTGTCTCAGAGAAAGAAATCCAGGACAGGAAATGCTCAACCTTCCAGCACTGGCCTGACCACCTGGAGCTCAGGGCAGTGACCCTTCGCCCCACCCTGCAGCACCAAATCAAGGCTCCAGAGAGCAGAGGTTGTGATTACTTCAGGGCTCTGGGCAAGTCCCTTTCACCTGGCTTCCCCTTCGGTGTTTGTAAAACAGAGAGATGATGCTGATATCTCCCTCACTGCTCCATCAGAGGCACTGTGTGAAATTAGCTTCTGTTTGGGAAGGTTTTAAAGCCTCACATTCCACCTCCCTGCTAATATGATTACTAGTACTTCCTTGTAGGAAAGGGCCAACTCCTCAGCCTTTTCTTCCTAAAAAACAAACCAAAGGGTATCTTTTCTCTCCCGATGGTCAGAACGGTGGTTGCTTCCCTGGTTGTTCCTCCTCAGAAGGTCCGTTTGCCGAGGTTAAGGATTCCTAGTCGTAAGACAACCAACCAAACAAACAAACAAATCAACAACAATAGTAGCAACAACAAAAATAATTTCTGTGAAGGTTCTCAGAGGGTTTCTGGCTTATAAACAGACTTTTCCAACTGTAAAAAATACGGCCCCAGTCAGTCTCCAAGCCATCTCTTCTCACAAGGATTAGGCCTGGTGGGGGAGGAGGGCAACTCGACTGTTTATTGGGGCTGTCTTTCTGAGGGTCATCGCTAAGGCTTTCCACAACAGGCATTTAAAAGAATATTTTGGAAGGAAAGTCACATTTTTAACAGGCAAAGAGGTACCTCTCTGGGGCACACAGCTCTGTGTGCAGCCTGTTTCTCAGCCTTTGGAAACCTTTAACAGTTTATGGAAGGCCACCCTTAAAACCAACCCAACAGCTCCTTTCTCCATAACCTGATTTTAGAGGTGTTTCATTATCTCTAATTACTCAGGGTAAATGGTGATTACTCAATGTTTTAATCATCAGTTTGGGCAGCAGTTACTCTAAACTCAGGGAAGCCCAGACTCCCATGGGTATTTTTGGAAGGTACAGCGACTAGTTGGTGCATGCTTTCTAGTACCTCTGCACGTGGTCCCCAGGTGAGTCCCGGACGCTTCCCAGAGCTGCAGGCAGCGGCGACCCAGCCCAGGCGGCAGCTGCGGACTCGGGCGCTGCCCGGGCTTCCGGGACCCGGCCTGCGAGGCGAGGCCCGGCGGCTGGATGGGGAGGATGTGGGCGGGGCTCCCATCCCAGAGAGGGAGGCGAACGAGGGAGGAGGGAAGAAGGGAGGGGCTGCCAGGGAAGAGGAGGAGGAAGGAAAGAAAGAAAGAGAGAGGGAAAGAGAAGGGAGGAGAAGATGCAGGAGGGCCGAGCGGGAGGGAGGGAGGGAGGGCCGGAGTGCGGAGCGGGGCGCGGAAGCTAGGTGAGTGCGGCATCCGAGCGGAGGGGCGGTGGTAGCCCGGGACGCCGCTGCGGCTCCGGGCTGAGTGTCTCGCCTCCCTCCTCGATGGGATTCCCGTCCGCGCCGTCTCGAGCCTGCAGCGCTTCAGCCCTCGGCCCTCGCCTAGGTTCACAGCAGCTGGTCAGAGGTCCCCAGGAGCTGCTGCTGGCGAGCCCGCTACTGCAGGGACCTATGGTGAGCAAAGCTGCCTGGCGCGGGGCGCCGGGCAGAAGTGGTCGAGGCGCATCCTTGGGGGCAGGGAAGAGAAACGGGTGGGGGGTTCAAGTTGTGGTCGCGGTAAAAGGTGGCCCCACTTTGTGTGTGTGTGTGTGTTTTTCTTTTACCCAACGGTGGCGTTAGAGGTAGGGATGCTGGCGCTGAAAGACACTTCCATATCGACTACTGCCTCCACCCAGGCCACTTTCTCCGCCCCGTGGCCATTTGCACCTTTAGTAGGTATGGGGCAGGCAGGAGAGGAGGGAAGCAGAGAAACCTTTGGCTGGGGGTCGTTGGGGAGTCTGCGAGGTCTTGAGCAGAACACGTTGCGGGTAACCTGGCGTTTGCGATCTCCGGACGGGAAGGGCCAGGAGAGAAAGGAATGTCGGTCGGCCAGAGGTCGGAAGAGAGTGAGGGGACGGCAAGGTGGAGGGAGAACACCTAACTAGGGCTGGTCGGAGGTGCGGAGCGCTGTTTCCCTGCCTCTGGACCGTGCGCACCGAGCGCAGGGCTGCCTGGAGGGGAGTGTCACCCGACTCGGCCCCCAGCCGACAGAAGCCTCTGAGAGCTTGCCAAGTGCCATGTCAAGACGCACCTCCTCTACGAACTGTTTTCGTGGACTTGCAGCATCCCAGGAGCCTTTCCTCTATCATTTAGTGGTGTGGGGTCTCGATGGCCGGGATGCCAGCGCTCTGCGGACCAGTCCTATGAAAACTCGCGGAGTCGTATGAAAATTCTGCAGAGCCCTGTCCTATGAAAACTCGCGGGCGAGCGGCGCGGCGGACGCGCGGCTCGGCTGGTCTTGGCTCTCCCTTCCCGGAGCCGACCGGAGTGGGTCCCGGAATCCCAGGTCCCTGCAGACCCCTCCCGGTGGGAGTTGGGCCTGCGGCCTTAGACGCCTCCTGTGCACTTCTTACGTGGATGGTTTGTAAGGACTGTGGTTTGTAGCCTCAAGTTTTTTGTGAGAGGTGAAAACCGCCCAAGACAGGGACTTGGTAAACCGAGGTGACCTCGGAGCAAACCGGCGACAGGAGAAAACTCAGGCAGGGAAGTGAGGGGCAGTCGCCAGGAGTTGCATCCCGGCCCCATCCCCCAAGAAAAAGTTCAGTTCGAAGTACTTTTCAGCTTTTATCTTTTTTAATAAAAAAAAAAAACTGAGGGAGAAAAACGTGATTAGAGATGAATCCCACTTATGAAATTCGAAATTGAAACACAACAGGCTCTTCCCTAGCCTCTGAATTTGAGCGCGGCGTGCGCCACCGAAGCCACCTTTGGTTGGTCTGGAGATTCCAGACGCCGACCCTTTCTACTGTCCCTTCGCCCGCGGGGACCGGCCCCTTCTCCGTCTGCTTTCTCCATTTTTAAAGCTCCTCCCAGAGGGTTTTTTTTTTTTAAGGGTTTCTGGAGTCTCCAAAAGAAAAGAAAACCCCCTTTGCCCTCCCCAACCCTTTCACAGTCGGTCCCAGCCGCGGCGGGGCAGCGGGAAAACCTAAAGCCGCTCAGAAAACGGCGCGGCTCTGTCCTGGCCGGACCGTAGCGCAGTGGCGCCGGTGGCCTCCGCACTCTGGCCCGCGGTGTTGGGCGGCGCCGGGCAACCGCGGCTCGGAGCCGAAAGCTAAATGCTTGATTTTTTTTTACTCCTCTTCCTCAAAGCCTTCGCTGGATTGCTCCCAAGAAGAAACTCCTGTTCGTGGGTGAGAGTAAGGCGGGCAACCTGAGCCCTCGATCTCTGTCTGCAGTGACCCACGGCAGAAACTGAGAACAGCCTCAGGAAAGGGAGGCGGGTGCAGCGGGGTTTTGAGCAGGAGTCGTGGGGTTCGGGACCCCGGGGCGGGCCTCGCTGACGAAGACTTGCGCGGGTCAGGTTTTAGAAAAGGCCCCTGTGCTGACCTACCCACGCGCGCAGCATCTTCGGCTAGTCAGGATATCCCAGTAATTCCTTGAGCTGTGGTAATATTCCTGAGGAAGTATGTGCTACGATTCTGCAGCTGGTGCAAAGGAGGAAGGGGGTGGGGGAAAGAAGTGGAAGGGGGGGTTGGGTGGAGGAGTGGTGGTTTAAAAAATAAGACAAGGTGGAGACAGGCAGAGAGAGAGAGAGAGAGAGAGAGACGCAGACGCATAGGTCGAGCGCAGGCCGAAAGCTATTCATGGTTTTCACGACTCCTGGGAACGTGGTGGGGTTTCCTTTCTGCGCCGGCTAGTGCGTTGCAAAGCCTCGGCCACTGTAAGACCTGAAAGTTGTGATGTGCCCCCTCCGCGGCGACGCCTCTTTTGAGTCTGCCTCCGCCCAGAGTGGCCCTACCGACGGCTTTCTTTTGGGATTCATGTTTTGCTCTGGAGGACGCGAGATTCTCCCCATCACGGAACAAGGAAAAAGCAGCCCAGCGGCTGCTCCCTCCCCACTTTCCCACGTCGATCGCGCCAACCACCTCCACCCTCCCGCCCGGTGCGGGACTTGGTCAGCCGCTCTCAGGCTGCGCGCTCGCTAGCGCTCGTCAGGGGGTGACTGTAGCTGGGAGCCGTCTTTGGCCTCGCGCAGACCCTGGGGAGGAAGTAGTGGGCGCGCGCGCGCGCACGGGTGGCTCTAGGCGCCGTGGTTCTTAAGTGCCCCTGGATGGTGCGGTTTTAAGAGGCTGTTACTCCGCCGCCCCCGCGCCCGGCCCTCTGCAGCCGGGCGTGCGCCGAAAGACGCAGCCCCTCGGGTGAGCCCCAGATCCTCGGGCTTCAGGCTGCTTGGGGCTAGTGCCTCGCCGGACGTCCCGAACGCGCAGGTAGAGGCGGGGGCGCGTCCTCCGCTTGCTGTGCCCGGGGACCAGCGCAGGGTGCCGCGGCTCGAAGCGCGGAGCTCCCCGCGGAAAGCTGCGCGCTCCGGCCGCAGGCTGGGAGGTGGGGCTCCCGGGAGGGGGCGGGGCCGCGCTGGGGCGTGAGGGCTCCTTCGCCGCCGGGCGCGGGGAGGGCGGGCTCCTCCGTGCGCGGGGCGGGGCCTCTGCCGTCACGTGACCCAGAGGGGCTGGAAGAAAAACAGCCCGTCTGCGCCAGTCTCATTATATTCAAATATTCATTTTAGGAGCCATTCCGTAGTGCCATCCAGAGCTACGCACTGCTGCCGCTCCTCTGAGCCTTTCCAGCAAGTTTGTTCCAGATTGGCTGTCAAGAATCATGGACTGTTATTATATGCCTTGTTTTCTGTCAGTGAGTAGACACCTCTTCCTCCCCCTCCCGGGAGTTCACTCTGCCCTCCCCACCTCCGCGCGTCTCGGGTCCCCCCGTCGGACCTTCCCTCCAGAGCCCACACTCCGCTTTCTGGCAGCGCTGTCGCTTTCTCCTTGGCGGGGCAGCCGTGGTGCTCTAGGAGGACCGGTTCTGTTTCAAGTGCTGCTTGCTCCCCCCACTCGCGCTCTCAGATTGGGTGCGTTGTAAGAAAGCGGAGCGAGACGGGGCTAAAGAAAAGAAAGGTCGCGCAGCCCCGGGTTGTACCTTATGGGCTAGTCACCCGCTCTTCCCACCTGACTAGGGGTATTCCCGATGCCCCCTTGTCGCGTGCCCAGCTGCTTGTCAAAATTCAGAGGTCACTCCCGGAATCCCCCCCACCCTTCCCTGGGAGGGAGTGAGCGAGCGGGCACGATCAGATGCTTTTTGCTGGGCATTTCAGACTCATCGGCCACAGTAAAGTAAACCGTCCAGCCACTCGGTCAGCTTCCAGACCACGTTCTTGATCTCGGCTTCTGGACCTGCCGCGCTGTGTCTTTGCCCTGCTCCTGCTTCCCTGCTTTTCCTCCCTCCTACTCCCAACCAGCTGGAAGTTGTGGAAATTGGGCTGGGAGGGCGGAGGGAGAGAAGATGGGGGTGGAGGAAGAGGGGGAGAGGCTGAAGTTCTGAAGTGGAGAGCGATGGCATTTTAATTCTCCCTCCCCCACCCTTTTTACCCCCTCGATGTTAACTGTTTATCCTTGAAGAAGCCAAGCTGAGATCATGGCTCAGATAGCAGTTGGGACAAAAAAAGATTAACAGGATGGAGGCTATCTGATTTGGGGTTATTTGACTGTAAACAAGTTAGACCAAGTAATTACAGGGCAATTCCTACTTTCAGGCCTTGCATGGCTGCAGCTGGTGCTGGAGGGGGGTGTGTGAGGGAGAAGACACAAACTTGATCTTTCTGACCTGTTTTACATCTTGACCCTCTATCTCTCGCCCTATATGCATATGTGGAGACATCTCCATTTCTCTCTAGTTATTGGTGTTTATTTATTCTTTAACCTTTCACCTCCTCCCCCTCCCCAGAGACACCATGATTCCTGGTAACCGAATGCTGATGGTCGTTTTATTATGCCAAGTCCTGCTAGGAGGCGCGAGCCATGCTAGTTTGATACCTGAGACGGGGAAGAAAAAAGTCGCCGAGATTCAGGGCCACGCGGGAGGACGCCGCTCAGGGCAGAGCCATGAGCTCCTGCGGGACTTTGAGGCTACACTTCTGCAGATGTTCGGGCTGCGCCGCCGCCCGCAGCCTAGCAAGAGCGCTGTCATCCCAGATTATATGCGGGA